AGCTGAAGTTCATTCGCCTTGCAGGAAGAGATGCTGGCGGTCAACACAGCAATCTGTCTGTCAAGAGGGGATGTTCCTTGGAGTGCTTCAATCGTTTCCAGCAGGACAGTGAGCTGTGCACTTGCATTTGTCAGGTTCAGCTGCAATCTCTCGTTTTCTCTCTGAGCATACTCTCGAGCTTGTTTGACCTTAGAATCTGCTTCCCGGAGAGAAAGTCGAAGCTCCTCGTTCTCCCTCTCTAGCGCTTCGACGCTCTTCTTGTACATGAAGGTCTGGTTTTCTGCCTCTTGGAGGGAAAATTGTCTCTGTTCCCGCTCCAATTTCAACTGGTCCTTCTCCCGTGTCACCTCAATGAGACGTTGCTGCATTGCAGACAATTCCTTCTGAAAGTTCACAGTAGACACGTGAATTCTCTCAGGTACTCCCACCTTTGAGGAGAAATATTCTTCTTGTTGATCCAATAGCTCCCTCTTCAACGATTCCACGTATCGTTCAACTAAGGCTTTCGACAATCTCTCGTTCTTCAATTGCTGAGCGCTGACAAGAAAATCTTTCCTGCAAGCACTTACATCGTTCTCAACTGCTGTGAGATTTCTCTCCAGTCTGGCAATGAACTTCTCAGATTCTCCCACAAAAGCATGCAATTCAGCTTCCTTCTTCTTGTGCAACTTGCTGCTCGTGTCAATCTCAGAAGATTGACGGTCGTGCTCCTCCTTGGCTAATTTCAGGAGGCCTTCGAGTCTTTTGAGTTCTTCTTCTTGGATCTCCAGCTGGTGTGACATGGTGTTGATGAGCAAATCGTCGCTGCCTGAATGCTGTTTTGATAGGATAACTTTCTTTTCCAACTTGGCTATGCGCTCCACAAAGGATTTGTTTTCTTTTGAGAAATTCTCTGCCTGCTGTTTGGAGAAATCCAAGTCCATCTGCAGTCGCTGCTCAGAAGCCCTTAGCGCTGAGATTTCTTGCATCAAATTAGCAACTTTCTTATGTAAATCAGACTTGGAACTCAAGATCTTCACATTGCGTTCCATGTCTTGAATCTTCAGGTGACCACTCTCTCGCTGTATTCTGAGCTCATGATTCAGATTCGAGATGATTTCTTTCTGTCCCCTCAGCTTCTGGTCCCATTCCTCTTGCAAAGAGATCTTGTCATGCTCTACTTGCATCAGATTGCTCCTCAGCGATTCAAGCGCCTTAGACTGCATAGCTATGGTGCGTTCAAGATGCTTTTTCTCTGAGGCCAATTGGTTTTCGATCTCATTCGTCGTCTTCGAAACTAAAATGCCTTTGATCCGTGAATGGTCAGAACGGACAATTTTCTCGTTCTGCTGCACAAGACTATCATCCTTGCCAGCGAATGCAACAATCCGATCATGATAAAGTCGCAGGGTCTGCTTGCACGTCACTAGCTCTGCTTCCAGCTCCTTCAGCAGGTCTGCATATTCTCGATTCTGGATTGAAAGTGCCTCTGCTCTTGACTTCATTGACTTAGCTTCCTTCGACAGACCTTCTGCTCGTCCTCGCCATTCATTCAACTCAAGGCTGAGCTTCGAAGTAATCCCTTCCATGTTCTCGTTCGATTTGTCGATGAGCCCAGCAGCGCGATTGAGCTGTTCTTCTTGCGCCAAGGCTGTTCCTTGGGCAGTCTGTTGAATTCTTTCGAGCTTCGAAACCTGCGCGTTCAGTCTCTGGATCTTGGCTTCTGCATCTTTGAGCTTCCCTTCAAGCACCTGTTCACGATTCGAACCATTTTTGACATCAGACTGAAAGTTTCCTTTAAATTCTGTCCCTTGCTTTGCACGGGTTGAAGGTTCATAGCATCCAGCGCTATCTCCATCAGATTCAACCAAGGTAATCGTGCCCAGTGAGTCAGGGCTCTTGGAACCTTCAAGCATGTTCTCATTCAGCTGCGCAAAGGGCTGCTGCCATGAGTGCAGATTATGACTTGGGATCTTAAACTTGCGGCAGAACGTGACGAATTGAGACTGTAGAGTTTTGAGATCCGGCGAATCTGAGATCAGTTGCTCATCATATGCCAAAGTCCACGTTCTTGTCAGGAAGTCTATGATTGCTTCCATTCGAAATGCCTGGCAAGTAGCACTTCAGACAAGGCACACAAACAACTGTTGCATTGACCTTGTTGCTCATATCCAACGAAGTGCTCGAAGGGACAGATAAACCTGCATGAGTGTCAAAGACTAAGGCATGGACTGAAGTGCATTACCATTCTGAATCTCCTGCAATACATGATTCTGCTGCAAATAGAAGAAACGGTTCAAAGTACGATTTCGTTCAATCTGCAAATTCTTGTCTCTTGATACCTGCATAGCCTCATCACTGAAATAAAACATCACAGTCTTAAGCGAGCATACTTTGGTTGAAGATGAATCAATCGCATTGCTCTTTGCAGCTGGAAAATTTCTTTCCTCCATTCCTCCACGAGCGTACTGGAGAAGCGATCATCACAACAAGAAGCAGCAGTGGCAAGAAAGGCAGTCCGACTCACCTCTCGCCCAATAGACAGCTCTGCAACTAATGCATCAAGTTGACTACTTTGTGCCTTAATTTCTCGTTGAAGCTCTGCAATCTGCATGTCCTTGGATTCTAAAATTTTGGCCTTTTCCCGTAGATCGATCAGCTCGTCTTCGTTCTCTGCTCTCTCCCTAAGCAGCTCGTCCAGTTGAATCTCCATTTTCGATTTAGATTTGATACTATCCTGCATTTGTTTCTAAAGCGAATCAACATCAGACAGAAATAACAAGGAACGACAAAGAAACCTTGAGAGCAGTTTGCTCGACGAGTTTTCCTTGAAATTCCTCCAACCTTGCCTTCAACCCCAAACATTCTTGATTCACTTCTACATTACTCATCATGGCGATGCCGACTTTCTCATCACGATCTTTCTGCAAATTTTCCAATTCTTTTTCACATTCTCTCAGCAAGGATTCTGCTCTTGATCGTTTGCTTTCAGATTCTTCTTTGGCATCAGAAAGTCTTTGTAGTTCGCATTGAAGGTTCTCGATCTTGGATAAATGTATCAGGTATCACAACTCACTGTCACATGCAATCTTACCTTCTGATCTTTGGCTTTCAAGATCCTCAGCACCTTTCTGTCGCGCTCTTCCAATTCTTCATCGGCTTTCTTTTGAATCATGTTGTGATCAACCTTTCCCTCCAATAGCTGCGCTTGCATCTCTCGAACGTACTCAACCTGCTTTTGCAACACGCTTTCACCCTCCTCCAGTTCTTCCCTTTTCCTATCCGAAATTTCAGCATGCATTCCTTCAACCTCAATTGCAATCTCACCTCTCCCAATCTTTACACCTTTCATCCAGCTCATCGCATTTGCGCCTCAATTGCTCACATTCTCTGGCAACGCCCTGAAGTTGAGAAAGTTCTGACAAGTAGTTTTCAAGCCTAGCCTTCAAGTTCTCATTCGACAGATCTCTCGTTCTGATCTCTTTCTCAAAGTCTGCCTTCAATTCTGAGATATACTCCTCATACTGTCTGCGAAGGTTCATGATTCCAGAGTCCTTGCCAGGCTCCATGGCATCTCTCATCGAATCGTGATGTTGAGCGCTCTCTCTGCATGGATTTGGAATCACGAAAGCCGCAGCAGCCTTCGACTCGTGCGCAGGTCTTCCTGCCAACGGCAACGATGGCACAGCGATCTTACTGTTGGGATCAGCTGGTTGAAACGAGACCATGAACTTCTTCTCGAAGTACTCAGACTTGAGGAAGAATGTCTCCTTGTACGGCGATCCATTCTTCTTCCTGGCCACGGCCTTGTTCAGCTTTAACCGGATCTGTACTGTCCTCGTCTCCCCGGGCCCCAGAGTGAGCAGGGAGGGCTCCACAGAGAACCGATCGCTGTTACCTACACGGATCCTGAAGCTCACAGAAGTTGTCAGGATGTTCTTGATCTCCAGGTTCTGGATGTAGGTTTGATTCGGCCGGACATCCGCGAAGTTCACTTCCTCCGGATACAGCACGAGCGACTCCATCGCTGCAAACCCCTCCACGCCTCTACCTCCCTCAGCTATGGACGCGCAGCGCCTGTTACACGACGATCCATGCCCTCGGCCTCGCCATCTTCTCCATCCTCGTCCACTGATCGACTGCTACTCCTTCTCCTCCTCCTCCTCTCCTCCTCTCCCTTCGCCTCCCTCACACCCTCCCTTCCACCATTTTCGGCGGGAAAGCATCAAATCGAAGACCCTCATCCCCCTCATACCCAGTAAGTACTCATCCCCCTCAGATCCCGGGCCTCACTCACTGGGCCGGGCCCGGCCGCGGTCACGGGCGGGCCGCACCGGCTGAATCACTGCCGGGGGAATTTCCGAGTGCTCGCCCGAGTCTGATGTTGTTTACTCTGTGAAAGTGCCAAACGGCGAGAAGACGATCTTTACTCAAAGTTAAGTTAAAAATCAGTACGAGGACAATCAGGAGAGCCGCAGTGTCGCACAGGCCAAACTTGAAACGGCGAGAAGAGAAAAGACAGCGAGAACCAAACCCAATCCTGCCGACTGCTGTCCCCCAAACTTAACTGATACCTTCACTTAACTGCGAGAAGACGATGTCGCTGTGGCCGCCGCCCTCAGCAATGAGTCCCGGCAGACCGTGAATGCCAGTGACCGTGACCTCCGGAACTGACTCGCGAGTTCGCCGGACTCCGCCGGGCCCGGTCCAATCTCAGTGACCGCCGGAGTCCGCCACGGTCAGGACAAGACTCGTAACTGCCATGTAACGGCGCTGATGAGAATGATTGACCAACCGTTCAACGGAAGCCGCAGTGCCATGACGGGTGAAGGTAAGAGGAGAGGACGGAGAGAGAAGCTGCTGGCGGGGGGAGGAGAGGAAGAGGAGAGGACGGAGAGAGAAGCTGGCGGGGGGAGGAGAGGAAGGGAGGGAGATGAAGGGAAAAGAAGATGATGAGGTTGAGACGAGGGACTGGAACATCATCTCGGGAGAGACAGACCTTGCTTGTGCCTGTTTTCGTCATGCAGTGTACCGGTCTTGAGTCAATGTAATGCTGTGCTGAACAGGCGGTGTGGGGCTTGACGGTGGTAAAGAGGTGAGTTTCAATGCGTTGGATGTAGACTGAGGCTGACTGTTGTCGTTCCACTCGAAAATTCATCTTGGATTCTGCAGATTCAAGAGGAAAGCGGTGATCACCATCTAGATTAAAAGTACGAGCTGCTTGACGGTTTTCCTTCTGCTGCAGATTTGAAGGACCTGCTAGCCCATGAGAACCAAGTCCGACCTGTAACAGGAGCCGCGCTGCCGGTTCTTGAGGAGGAGGAGGCGGAGCAACACTCGATCTCATGAGCCTCTACAGGTGGAGCATGAGGAGCTATCCCAGGAAGCTCTGCCCGTCGAACCTGAGTTGAGTCCGGTGAAGGACAGAGTCGGCAGAGTTCGACCGGATGGCGATGGAGCTGTACATGTGGGAGACGCGGGGGATGTGGAGGAAGTAGCAGGCAGCGAAGCAACACAGGTTGAGGATGGAGGAAGCATACAAATATTCCATGTTGGAGGACATGCTGAGGGTCAGGTGGAGGTGGAGGAGGGGAAACAGGGAGAGGGGCAACAGCAGGCTGTTGTTGAAGCCAAGACCGACGATGCTCACCAAGAACCACGACTGCAGACTTGGTACGAGGACGCGCAAACCTCTGACGATGCCGACTCTCACGCGAATCAGGGAAGTCCCTGAAGAGGGAGGAGGAGGAAGAGGAGGAGAAGAAGGAAGTCGCCGCTGAGCAGCCATTCAGCAGAGCATTCACTCACGTAGAGGAGAAGACAGTGTTTAGGAAGCGTGTAATGTCGCTGGATAGGACTATGAGTTGCCCTACTGGGACGGTCGATGAAGTCAGCTACAAGGAAACTCAGGGTAGGCTGATGGATGCTTCCGTTGAGCAGCGGACCATGGGGTTTGCTCTAGCATGGAACAGATCGCGCATGTACAGGCGGCTGTCGCAGAGTCTGGACGGGTCGATGAGAGGAGCTCTGGTACACAAGGACTTCAACCCTCCGACAGTAGGAGAGGTGGAGGAAATGATCAAGAGCCTGTCGTCTCCCGTGACTCCCTCGAGAAGGAGCTCGGTCGGCAACAGCGGGAAGGAGTCGTTGACGAAGGAGGAGGATGGGACGTCCGTGCTGCCCTTCTGGAAGGTCTCGGACGAACTGGATGAGATCATCCGGTCGAACCAGGCGAGGAGCCTGATCGACGAGGACGGGAAGTTTTCAGCTCTGATCAAGAGTAGGAAGAGGAGGGAGATGATTCGCAATTCCTCTGCCATTGTGATACAGCGAGCAGTCAGGAGGTACCTCCATGCTATCCACGAGAGGCCTTGGATCGAACACCGCAAGGTGAAGGACAACGTCGGGAAATGGATCCATGCTCTTATTCCCCATGGGACGGCGGACGGGATGAAGGTGTTCAGGGACGAAGTACTGCTGTGCTCGTGGTGGAGGGAGAAGGTCCCTGAGCAGAGCAAGGAGGTGTTCGACCTGTCCAGAGCGAAGATCCTGACGCAGCCTCGATGCCAGGGCAGGAGCATGCAGGGCAGGATCAGCCTGCATGAGGTACACGCCGAGACGTCAGCGAGGAGCAGAGAGCTTAACATCATGCTGGACCGGTACGCTGACGAGCAGATCGAGCGGTGGAGGCAGAAGCTTGACCCGATGTTCTCCACTACCTACGGGGAGGAGGAGGAGGGCAAGGGAGGAGAAACTCTCTCTACCGTCCTCTTCACTCCCCGCAACGAGAAGCGGTTGAGAGTCTACAGGAGCGGAGCAGAGCGCTCCAGAGTCTCTCCCCTCCACCTCTCCCGCGGGCTGGCAGCAGCTGACGCTCCTCCTCCTCCCCGCGTGAAGATCCTCGGAGTTCAGCAGCCTGCCATCCGATCGTACTTCCAGAGGAAGCTCCATCATCTGCCCGGTCCAGTCCTGCGGCAGGAGGGCGGCGACAGCACTGAGCCGGCCCACGAGGAGGGGATGAGCAGGAAGCAGGAATGGAGAGAGTTCAAGCCTCGTCCTCCTCCCAAGACAGGAAGGGACACCAGGAGGCTGCCAAGGCTCAAGCACAGAAGGAAAGTTGAAGGAGGAGCAGGAGCAGGAGCAGGAGAGGCAGAAGGAGCCGGAGCAGGGGCAGGAGCAGGAGCGGGAGAAGGAGCAGGAGGGAGGAAGAACGTGTACGATCGATTGATCAGTGTTCTCCGGAAGATCGCGGAATCTCTCAGGCTGGAATCTTCAGCTGAGGGTCTGCTGTTTAAGAAGGAGCTCATCTTCGAGATCGAATCTGTCAGTCAGGTCCTCTCCTCTCCTCTCCCTCTCCTCTCCTCTCCTCCTCTCCTCTCCTCTCCTCTCCCCTCTCCTCTCCTCTCCCCTCTCCTCTCCTCTCCTCCCCCTCTCTCCCCTCCTCTCCTCCCTCTCTCTGCTCTCCTCTCAACGTCTCTTCAGGACCTCTGGGAGGTTGGGGATGAAGCAACTGTCGGTCTGCTACAGAAGTCCAAGGAGGACATTCAAGAAGCGCTGTACCTGGAAGTCCTGGCGGCGCTGCAACAAGGAGGTGTGAATTTTTTGGTGATGATGATGGAGATGATGATGATGATGATGATGATGATGAAGGTGATTGTGATGGAGATGATGATGATGGTGACGACGACAACGACGACAACGATGATGATGATGATGATGATGATGAAGATGAAGATGATAGTGATGATGAAGATGAAGATGATAGTGCATTTTACATTCATAAGAATGATATTGACGATGACACAGACGAGGGATGATCGGCTCTTTTCAATTCTCACGATTTTTTTCTTCTCACATTGACGTTTCATCACCATGTAGACATCGTTTTTTATTCTTTTCTCTTCTTTTGTAAATACTGACAAGCAACCCAAAAACACTCCACAACTTGTTTGTGTTCTATTCTATTCTCCCATGAACATCTAGTATATCAATACACCTTCGACTTTGCATCCTATTTCATCTTGCCGTTTCCTCTCTCCTATCGCTTATTCGTCGCTTTCGTCCTCTCTTTTTTCCTTCCTCCTGGTTTCATCCAAGGATCTGCAACGCCTTCACTGTCTCC